GAGATTATTTACTCTTGTTTTACACTTTAGGGCGCATGATGCAGAGCAGAAGTGACTTTTTCAAGGTTACCAAGGTCTCAGTGGTGCAGGGAGCTTCCTGTACAAGTTTCCTTGCAAGAGTGGGTGGCTGCCTGTAGGTAAGACAGCCGTGCATTTAAATATTGTGCTTTTTAGTCTGAGCATCAACTGTTACTTCCCTGAGGATGCAGGAGGAAATATCCAGCTATAGTCTGGTAGTGGAATGAGGCTGTTGGATTTATGGAATTGCTGCTCACTTCACATAATGCTTTCTGATGTATTTGGTGCTGAGCTATGTTATGCTGCCTTAGTCCATATGGTTGGAGCAGATTTGATTTTGGTTTTCCTTAATTTAATTCTGTGTGCTGTCAAATGTACTTTATTCTGTATATTGTGTCTATACTTTTATAGTAAACTCCCTCCTGTTTAGTGCTTTTGTTGAAAATGTTCTCTCAAAGTCTGAACTAAATTAGGGTTTCACTCCTATGCGTGTTTCTGAAATATTCGTAGGATGTTAATGACTTGGAAGACATCGTGTATCAGCTTTGACTCAATTTTCAGGATTTTTTTCCAGCTTTCTGAATTTTATAATAAAGATCCCTTTGTAATTCATCTGTCTGTGCCCTGACTTCAGCCGTGCACTGCTGAAAAAAAGGGCAGGTAAAGAGCTCATAAATACCTTCAGCCAACAACCTTTACTTGTCACTGAAAACTGAACCTGCCTTAGAAACAAGAAAACAGGTCACTCACTGCTCCATACACTGCTAAGACAGAGTATGGAGAGGTGTTGGTGTGTTCACTATATCAGCCCAGCAGAGATGAGCCCCCATTGTGGCTGTGACACTTTCATTTCCAGCCTGTTTTGCATTTTCCAAGGACCTGAGAAGCGCCCGGCGAAGCGGAGCTACCCCAGGAGGGAGAGGCTCTCACAGACTCGCCCTCTGGACAGCAGCCTGCTCAGCACCTCCTGAGCACCAGAACTTGCTCAGCCAGATATCTCTGTCCATCTGCTTGCCACAGCCTGGGTGAGCTGATAAGCAACAGCTTGCAGGAGTCTTGGGAGGGAGGCTGGGCTGGAGTGTTGCTGGAGTCTGAAGACATTGTACTGGGCATATGCTGAAGTCAGCAACACATTCCAGTGCCCTTCTCTGTGCCTGGAATTGCCAAGTTGCAGCTACCACAGAAGATAACAAACGGAAAATGTGAAATGTGGGAGTGACAGGGAAGAAGAGTAGGTGAAGATAGCTGGAATTCAGTTTGGAGGGAGAAATAATTTAAAATAGATTATCTAGAAATATGTCTCATAAAAGTCTCTCTAGTTTGCTATCTGCTGACTCAAGTTATTATTAATATTATTAAAAAGTAAAACGACCTTGTAAAGAGTCTGGCTGGTTCTGGAGATGGCGAAAGGCTGTTGAATGTGGAGGAGCTTATGACTAGTTCACAAAATAAATACTGCCAAAGCAGTGATCTTGGCTTAGTTTTCCTCCCAGCTGCCCCTGTCTGACTTCCAGGATCTCTTAAGAGAAAGAACATCCCCTTTGTTGATTGCTTCTGGGAAGCAGTTTGGTGGAGTGTTAATACACCTTGGTGGGCACAGAGCCTCTGTGATGAGAAATGGGGTCAGTCAGGGTTTTCATTAGCTTGCTTTTCCCAAGTATTTTTAGTATGACTGCACTTAACTCTCTTGGGGTTTCTTCCTTGGTAATTTTCAGCTGCTGAAACAGACAGGTCCCTGCACAGTGTTCTTGTCTGGCTTTTTGTTTTACCCAATCCTACATCCTCAGCTCAGTGGTGTGACATACAAACAACTATCAAGCCCTTGCTGCCAAAGCTACTGGTCCTGTAAACCTGCTTAATTTGTTCCTAACCAGGGAAATAGGGAAGCAAGATCTGCTGTTACCTTTTCCCCTGTCACATTCAAATCTCTGTGGGATGCAACATTTTAATTATTCCCTGTCACATCACAGGTTTAAGTATTTCCTCAGCTTTCAAGTCATCTCACCTATCCCTGTGCTGTTGCCAAACATGCTTTTAATCTCTAACAATGTCAGGCTTCTCTGACACACAATATGCAAAGCATTGCTGGAGAAGGGGGGTCAGCATACAGGAGAAAAGGAAAACATTTTGTGTGTGTGTGTCAATCTGCAGAAATTTACTGACTTGGTTTCCAATTGCTTCAAAACGTTGCTGGAGAGCTGATGCAACAATATGTCTAGTGAAAGCAAAACAGGAATTTTCTGCAAGAACTGGAACGTCTTGCTGTGCAGTGAGCTTATGCTTCCCTCTCTCACATTACCTGCTCTGTTATTCTGCTCTTCTCTCTCACAGAGCATTTCTTTGCAGTTTTATGCTGCCAGTGCTGGTGTTGTTTCCCAGTTTAGTACAAGAAGGCTGCTCCTGCAGGATCTTTTCCATGCTGTGTGCTGGGAAAGGCGGTGCATGGGCAGCACAGGCGGTGTGGGTGATTTCAGCTCCTTGCAAGTCTGACGTCTGCAGTTTTTTAGAATGTGCTTGTCTGTCTTTAAATAACACCTTGCAGTTATTGCAACCTGAAGCCTTGGTTCTTGGGCAGTATCTGACACAGGATTGAGGGCTGCACTGAGGATTTCCACAGGGAATTACTTTTTGGTAATTAAATGTAGTGTGTTTGATTCCTAATGTGCATATGACACAAAAATAGAGACTTTGTGAGCTGGTTTCACATAGAACATGTTTGCCATGTTGGATTTCCTGTCTTCCTCATCCCAGGAGCTGGAATTGCCAGGTGGCTGACAAACCTCCCTGGGATCAGCTCTAACTGGCGTGGGAAAGTCGTTTCATGTGTGTGGGCACATTACAAAAAAGTTGCTTTCCACAGTGACATCTGTTTGCTCAGATATAAATGGATCAGTGACCGTCCCATCTGGAAGCTGGGGTGCTCTGATCAGTGGTTTGCCTCATGTGCTGCATCCAGCACTTCTGGAATCAACACGTCATCACTGCCAATTTCAAGCTGTTTCTCTCTTTTTGCAGGTGAATTAGAGAAAGTGACTCCCAGAGCACCTTGGCTGTATGAAGTCTTGAGCTGTCAAAGGACTGAGAGGCTTATGAAGAAGTTCTGTCAGGCAAAACAGTGCTTAGCAAAGACACCAAGGAGGAGGGAAAAGGAGAAAGGGAGGGAAAGAGAGCTGAAACACTAACAAACCATGGTAGGTATTTGTTGTCTTTCACAGGGGTGCATTAGAAGTGTTTTCTGCAGCCAGGCTTGCATGGGGCCTGATCAAACCCGAGACAGGGGATTTTCTGACCTTGCACTAACTTGAGGGATGGTACTGTGTGCTTTGAGCAAAGCAAGTGAGGTTTGATGTATTGTCAGCCTCTTAAAGCCAGAGAGTGTTCTTGTGAGCCTGCAGTACATGAATTATTAAATACGAATGAAGGGATGCTCATAAGGTTTTCTAATAAAACTGGTATTAGCAGGCTGTAGCAAACAGCATCAGTGACCTTGAACTTGCAGATTTCATTACCAAATGCTCACATTCCCCTTCCACCTCTACCTCACAAAACCAGGTTTTGATTATTCACATGCATGTGTGTGTGATTGAAGGTGCCTCTGTGCACACTTCAGGACAGTGTAGATGAAATTTGTGTAGCCAAATATACCTGGTGTGTATGGTTTAAGTGAGGAGTCGCTTCTCATTTGCCTGGCTTTGGCTGCAAATCGAAATGCCTGAGATGTGGGATTTGTAAAGATGTGCAAGTATGAAGTATTGTGATGGTGAGATTCTGAAATGTGTTCACAAAAAGGCAAATAACCTACTCAGTTCCTGAACAATACGAGTGGAGAGCAGTTTAAACTTATTTATATATTTTCAAGACCTCTAAGGTTATTACTGAGAGAAAGGAGATGAGAATAAATGCAATAAATTTTATATAACTGTAATAAATTACAGTTGCTAATGTTTGTGTGGCTCGTTGCTGCACATAGGCTGTGTGTTTATATTTATATTTAAAAAAAGGACCTAAACCAAGACTTACCATTTACAGAGTGAAAAGGAGAAAGAACACTTTGCAAAGCAGAGTTGTTAATATGTTTTAAATAGTGTCCCACTCTGTCATTCTTTTTGGCCTGAATTGTAATGAGGAGTTGATCTTGTCAGCCCCTCTTCATTAGAAAATAAAATGTGTTCATAAGTAGGAATTACCAATTTATTTCTGTTCCACTGTTGTAATTGACATTTTGTAAGGTAGAAGATGGTGGGTGAGTTGTTAAACGCAGCTTGGCCGTTTCCCTGCAGCCCAGCTGTATCCATGTTGTGGATAACCACAAGAGGGACCTCCTGGAAGCATTTTGCAGCCTATCAAACTGCAGGGGATAAAACCAGCCCCTGACAGATGAATTTTTACTGGCCAAATTATCCATCTGGGTAGGAACACAAAAATTAGGAAGGGAATGATGTCATGACCTTCAATGGAAGAGACACAGGGAGTGCAATAACACAGGAAATCACTGACAGTTCCTGAATAAGGATCCAGCCTCGAGGCCTCTGAGGTTGTTGAAAGTCCCTTTGTGTCCTTAGGAGTGGGTACAGCTACAAACCCACGAAGTAGGGGTGAAAATGACACCTAATTAAGGTGCTTAACATGTAGGAGGAACAGAGAGGTTTGGTTGGTGATTCTGCTCTGGGAGGCTTTCAGGAGGCTTTCAGCAATGACTGATGTGTCTATAGAGACCAAGACTTATTGCTGCCCTTTCCACAGATCTGTGCTGTGATCACAGCTGGTCTGGGGCACTGTTTAGATCAAAAAAAGTCTCACCTGAACAGTCTGCAGCAAACCTGCAGCAAAACTTCCTAGCACAGGTTACCCAACCAGTGAAGTTTACCTCCCTCAGCAGTATCACTCAGGACTCTGAGTTTCACTGCAGACTTTTTAAATTAGCACTCTAATATTTTCCTATTCATTTGAATGTTTTTTAAAAAGAAATTTCAGTCTCTTACCATTTATCTTTATTCTCGTCTTCATTCATGTCTTTGGAAATACCTGTGCAGTGGCTGAGCCTCTCACAGTTCTGTACTGCCTGTGACTTCATCTGCAGCAAACCTGTGAGGGTCTGGCTTTTTGACTGCTTCTTCCAAGGTGTGCTGCTCTTGTCCCTGGCATAAACAGAGGAGAGGTGGCTGCACTCAGCACTTCCAGAATATGCAAAATTGTATTTGGAGAGTATCATTGCCTTTTACAAAACAGGAATCATGCCTCCTTGCCCGCCCTCCTTTCCACATGCTGTGCCCAATCTGCACCCTCCCTGCCAGGCAGGATTCCCATTCAGGCAATGTCCTATCAATACTCCAATAACTTTGTTCTCTTTTCTTCCTGTTTCCCACTCCTCAACAGAGATCAATCCGATCTTTTGCTAATGATGACCGCCACGTAATGGTGAAACATTCAACCATTTATCCATCTCCAGAGGAGCTTGAAGCTGTCCAGAACATGGTCTCAACAGTAGAATGTGCCCTTAAGCATGTCTCTGACTGGATGGATGAAAAGAACAAGTCAGCCAAGTGTGAGGGTGATGCAGAAGCCAAGGAGGTAGCTGCAGAAGGCACTGCCAAGTGAGTGAAGCCTCAGCTCACAACGTGTCCCTGTGCTGCTCTCAATGGCTCCTTTCCTCCGAATAAGAGTCGTAGTGTTACCTGGGTCAGCTGCAGATGAATGTTCATAGGAGGGGGATATATTTGGATTTTCTGAGGTGGGAGCACGTGGGGGGTGTGCAGGGAATGGCAATAAGCCCAGTGTGGGCAGCAGTTGCTCTCCATTTCTTTGCTTATTTTACTGTGATGTTGTGAAGTTGCATTTAGCAGACAAACTTTTCAGCAGTTTGAAGCAAATACAATTCCCTGGAACACACCAGTGCAAATCAACAGCCATGTGCTTGGGGGCTCCTGCAGTCTGATACACTAAAGAAGTTTTTATAATCCAGCAAACAAAGTTTCTTAAGCCTCCATTACTTTCCATTATTGCCATAGTTTAACCCCAGCTGGAAAGTCAGCCCCACATAGATGCTGATTTTTTATTAAAAAATAATCCAAGAGTGCAGTAAATGCTTTGGAGATAACTGGATGAGACAAGAGCTGGTGCTGGCCTGTCAAAGATGCATTTCTTGCACTTTACTCCATGATTTTAAACAATCCTTGTCTACAAAACTGGCTTTTGTCACAGTCTTTTTCTCAGCATTCAAAAAGTAAGTGTCCCTATGTTGCTTTGAAAATTCTTTACTGTGGCTCTTAAAGGGTCCCCGAAACTGTACCTGAAGAGTAAAATTTTAATTACCCTAAATTGTTTCATTTCCAGGGATCAAGGTGGTCGGACGTTATGTGGTGTTATGAGAATTGGCTTGGTTGCAAAGGGCTTGCTGATCAAAGATGATATGGATCTGGAGCTGGTTCTCATGTGCAAAGAAAAGCCCACAAAGACCTTGTTATGTATTGTTAAAGACAATCTCCCAGCTCAAATTCAGGTGAGTTCATTTGGAGCAGTCCTCCCACAATGGGTGACAGCACTGCAAGGGCTATTTGGGGAAAGGCTGGAAATTGTTCCAACAAGAAAGTCAAGCGATATAAAGGAATATACTCTGAATCTAGGACGGCATCTGGGGCATGCGACATGTTTAATGTGGTGCCGTGAAGTCCTTACTCACAAAATGTAACCTCTTACTGCTGTTGTTGCCCTTCTCCTGTTTGTGCTGTCAGTTCCTTGGGAGGGCAGCTGACCTGTGTGTGTGTAACTAACCCAGGGTGGGTTTGGGCGCTCTGCTCCACCCAACATGAGCCAAACTGCAGAAATCTTCCCTGCTCAAGTGTGTCACTCAGTCCCTGTTGTTGTCCCCTGCCTGAACCTGCAGTTCCCCATTGCAGCTGCTTTGCTTGGGCTGTTCCCACATAAACCCCTCTGTGCTGCCAAGGTGAGGACATGTCACTTTAGGTGGTCACTCATTTGGGCTCATGTTAATCATGAGTTCACATTATTTTTATTTATGGCTACTTAATTCTGATGGTGGCATCCAGCAGGCAGCAGTTGCAGCTTGTTTAGGGATACCAGCTCTGTGACAGAGTTCTGAGGCTGAGGAATCAGTCCAGCTTCCAGACTCACCAATACTGGTGCCAAGGAACTGCCCTCAAATGTCCCACTGCAAGTTCCCCTCTCCAAACCACAACCAAACTCAATCTGCTTTTCTCCTCATCTGCTTTTCTCCCTGTGTTTTACCATTCTTGACAGCTGTTAGTTCTCACCATTCATTTTCTCACACAAAGGGCTTGTTTTAATGAGCTAATATTGTTCCTAGAGATGTGGCCCTATACATAGCTAAAAATGAAAAGGATCTTTTGAGTAGTGAAGAGTAAATTTTACTTGTTTGAAAATGATAGGGATGTACTGAGTATTAAAGAATAAACTTTGTAGTGAGGCATGAAATGAGAAAGGTTGAAAGTGAGAAGAAAAGTTAATATGTGCTTCAAAGAAAGTAAGATAAAATGAGAGAATAGACATAATTAAAATATGTGAAGAGTGAATAAATTCAAGAGACAGGCAGGTAAGAGCCTGTGGGAAAGGACTGTGAGGGATTACAGAAGAGATAAGGGAAGAGGACTCTGACTCGTGAAATGCTCCAACTGTTGTGGGCATGGAAGATGAGGAGAAGCTCTGCAGAGGGATCAGATGCTGGAGGTGAAGGAGGGCTTAGGCCCATTAGTGGACAAAAGGAGCCTCAGAAGCTTCTGCTTTGCTGCTTTGAAGGCTCATGGTGAGCACATGCTCAGCCATTTTCATGCCAACACTAAAGGAGCTGCAGAGCAGATTGCAGCAGGGAAGAGGTCAGAATAGCTGTCCTAACCACCAGTTTGCTGAGCCAGACTCCACACAGAAGGAGTGACTGGAGGCTCTGAGCCATCTGTGGCTGCCCATGTGCTTCTGGAGGGCAAGAGAGGTCCCAACGGGCTGCTGAAAGACTTGCAGAGAGATCACTGCAGAGAACTCTGATACAGTGCACATTAATGGAGCAAACTGTAAGGCAGTTGAAGCACTGGCTACAAAAGAAATGTTTTAAATTGTTTTTAATGAGGGAGGCAAGGCCACCTTTGTTACTGCAATGCCCTGTAGCCTTCTCATTAGCTGAGGTGCATAAACAGATTCTTCACTTTTTCAGTCGATTGGGAGAGTCTTGAAATATTTCTTGGTGACTTTCAGAAACTTACAGAAGAGAAGTATCTGGTGGAGGAGCATGTAAATGAGGCAGCTATTGTTATCCATAACACAAAGGAGCCCAAGCTCACTTTGAAGGTGATACTCACATCCCCTCTCATCCGAGATGAAGCAGAGAAGAAGGAAGGAGGTACACAGAGCGTTTTACCTTGGTTTTAAGACTGTTCTAGCTAAATGTCGTGACTGTGCAGCACAGGGTTAATTGGGAAGTAGGTTTTTAATTGTACATCACATACTGACTAGAGTGGCTATTGCCACCATGAGTTACATTATTTGTGCCTTAAAAAGGCAGCAATCACTTAATTTTCATGCAAATATGTGTAGTTTCCCTTTGCAGGCAATATTCCTACAGTGTTAACTTTGACATACAATTAGATCTTAGTTCTCCTTTCTTTCAGACTTGTTATTTAATTCTTGAGCACCTGGCGCTGCACAGTCTTGTTTGCAAATTAAGTCAGTCAAGTGGGATTGGTTCACAGTTTCTTGAAAAACTAATTAAAATGTTTCTCTTTATGTAAAAGCCCTCTCCTGCAAAGCTCGCCAGTGTGTCGTCCTGGCCCTCAGTTTTTATTGATTGATGATGTATATGTTTCTGGCTTTAAGAATGTCCTAACTGGGATACAGTTGAAATTATGGTGCTGTGATACAGCACTTTTGCTTCTGGATTGAACGTTGTACCTCATGTCCTTAGAGCAAAATAGTTCTAGAAAACTGTCACTTAGTCCTTTCCGTTCCTTCTCCCTCACCGCCGTGTCCTACACAGCTCCGTGCCCGTGCTGCAGGAATGGTGCCTGTAGTACCAGTGAGGCTGGAAACAGACTGTGAGCAATAGAGAAGAGCAAATGTAGCCATACTTTGTTGTATTTTTAAAATCTTTTCAGTAATTTCTGCTTCTGCTTCCCAAACCTATCCCTAGAAACTTTGCCACTGGATGATGTCAGACCTTTGACCAACTGGCCACTCTCTGTCATGACAACTGAGGCAGCTGGGCCCGTGTGGGCTAGGGAACTCCCTGTCGCTCTCTTCCCATTTCTAGACTTGCCACAAGTCCTTTGCTTCCTCCCTCTCCCACATGGAATACCAACGGGATGAGAAATGTTGGTCAGTTTCTCCTTATTTTGTTGGAGGCGATGGCAGGAAGGATCCCTTTCCAAGTGACATGTAACACTTTGGCAGCAGTTGAATGCAGAAAAATCTTACAGAACAGATGAATGGCAAAGATCCCTTAATTACACTGGCTGTTTACTCTCAAATTAGCAACAATGCTGTTTCCAAGACCATTAAAAATAAACTGCATATTGCCTTAGTTGTTCAGCTTCCCACAAGATGCTGAGACCAAGCCCTGGAGCTGCTGCAGCTCATCCATGTTCATGAGAGAGCACAAAGTGCAGGACAAATTCTGATGGTGAAGGATTTGTGCGATTCCCACAAGGGGATACGATTTTACACAAAGGCTGCTGCCCGAGTATTTTCTTGTAAAAATTGATGCTGTTATGCCAGCAAAGTCCAGGATTTTCTGAATTCATCTCAGACTAAAGGAGGATTGGAATTTTTATGCTTTCTCATGCTTAAAACGTAGGTGGTCTATTTTTTTTTTTCAGTATCTTAAAATATTTTCAAAGGTCTCTACTATATTTTTTAAATTTAAAATGGTTTTACCACCTCTCCTGAAGTGGTTATACACTGTCATTCTGTGCAGCTGCTGAGGACAGGGAATAGGGTCATGGATCTCATTTTAAAGTCCAGGTTCCTTGGCATTGATTCATCATAGAGACATTTATCATATTCCTTTTCAAGGTATATGGAGCATTATGCAGATGTCACTAAGTAAGTTGAAAAGGGAGAGATTTTTTTTGTAATCTTTCCAACCATTTAGATTGAAATCACTTAGATTCAGACC